TTTCTGAGACTATTCACCCATTAACTCATAAATGTCAAAAGCACTTTAGAAATAATGTGACTTGGGTTGCGGAAAAGACTTTCGAGATATTGTTAAAAAATCTTGGCCTCATAATAACTAGCTAGATGGTGTTCAATTTTTCTCCTATGAGGCAATTAATCCCTAACAAAAAATGCTAGATTGTTAAATGTCTTGAAGGGATTGATACAGCTAAGAGAGCTAATAATGCAGATGGACTCTTTAAATTGGAAAAATCCTTATGGAAAAAGTATAATAAATTGGTAGCACAAGAGAAATTAATTTGGTGGAAAAAATCAACGCTAAATTGGCTTTAGTTTGGTGAAAAAAAAATACTAAATTCTTCTACTTTTTGGTAAATTTTAGAAGAAACAAAAACCGTATGGAAGTTCTTCTCAATGGTCAAGGGGTTTGGATTTAGGATCAAAGTTTGTTAAAGGATATGGCTTTAAAGATCTATAAAGATTTGTATAGGAAGGATAATAATATTTAGAGTACTAAATTTCCTACCTCATTCCCTCTTCTTAGTAATAAAGCCTTAAACATGATTTAATAGGATATTACTAAGGTCAAAATAAAAAATGCTACTTTCTCCATGGGTGCTTTTAAAGCACAAGGACCCGACGATCTCCAACCATACTTCTTCCAAACTCAATAGGATTTAATTGGAAATTAAATGTATAGATTAATTAGAGAGGTGTTTAATGATCTAGCTAGGTTAAAGGACCTCAATCATACCGATATTATTTTTCTTCCAAAAGTCAACAGGCCTACCTTAATGAAGGAATTTTGCTTTATCTCTCTTTGTAATGTGAGCATCAAAATCATTATCAAAAGTATTGTGAATGAGAGGTCGCCTTAGGTATCTCATTGACTCTCAGTAATACATATTCATTACTAATCGGCATAGTAGTGATAATGTGATCTTGGCACAAGAAGCTATCCATACTATAAGGACTAAAAGGAATAGAAAAGGGTACATTGCTTTAAAAGTTGACCTTGAGAAAGCCTTTGACTGCATTGATTGGGATTTTATCTGATCCACTTTGGAAAGCATAGGATTCAAGAATGACTTTATTCATCTCATTATGTATTCCATCACCACTTGCTTTATAAAAATTCTTTAAAATGGTGAGGAAACTTCTTCTTTTCAGCCAACTCAAGGTGTTAAGTAAGGCAACCCACTTAGTCTTTATTTATTTGTTCTTTGCATAGAAAGACTTAGGCATTCATTATTGATTTTATCTTTCCTAAATGTTGGAAACCTCTTAAGTTTTTGGCTAACGGACCTCACATCTCTCATTTGTTCTTTGTGAACGATCTTATCCTCTTTGCTGAAGCCTTTCTTGATCAAGTTGATCTTATTAAAGACACTATAAGGCATTTTTGCATTGCCATTGGCGATATAGTCAATTTGCAAAAATCAAAATTGTTTTGTTCTCCTCACATTAGTGTCAATTAGGCTCTTGAATTCAGCCAGCATTTGAGCATGGAATTGACTTTGAATCTTGAGAAATACCTTGGTGTTCATCTTCTACATGGTAGGCTTACTAAGAGTCTTCTCACACCCATCACTCTTAAAATAAAATAAAAATTATCTATATGGAAAGGAAAGTTCCTTAACTTGGTTGGCAGATCTACTCTAATGAAAGCTATTCCTAGTGAAATACCAAATCATCTCATGCAAACAATGTTGCTGTCTAAGGGAGTTATAAATGATATTGAGAAGCTGTGTGGGAAATTCTTTTAGAATGAATACAATGACTTTAGAAATATCTTGAGTGTTTGCAAGTCAAATGTCTTAAGACTAAATACAGATGGAACGAGGAGACAATAAGTCCACTTAAGAAATGTGAGGGGGTATTTTATACATATTTATGTATTATTTGTACTCTTATGATGATTATTTAATGCATGAATTTAAGATAAAATTAAATAAAATACCTCACCTAAAGATTTTGGCATATTTTCAAAAAAAAGGAGATAAAATAACATGAAAAATACCTTAAAATGTAAAGCTCAGAGTCAAAGACTAAGGAATCAAGCAAAAAATGACTCATATGTGCGTGGATGAAGCCTACATTAGTGATTTTGCATGGCCCTAGTTCATCCGCTCGTGGATGAAAAATACACGTTTCATTCAACTGTGGATGAAAATATTGACCTCCTGTGGATGAAAAACAAAATGTGAAAATGATATTTTTAAGCCAAATATCATCATATCTAATTAGATAAGGCTTGATTTGGATAGATTCTAAGCCTATGAGAGTTGAATTTATTATAAATAAACCTCTCAGAAGCCTCTCAACAACATCCAATCTCACATTTAAAAGCTAGGAGGCGTATTATGGAGCTTGAAGGATTCTTCAAAGTTGAGAGCTTTCTCTCTTCTTCTTCTTCTTCTTCTTCTTTAGATTCTATTCATGTTTTCTAGTGGGAATGTAGTTTTAACTCTACAAGTTCTCGCTGTCCATTCAGGATCGGGAGTAGCCTAATTAGCATAGATTTTGTTCTTTATTTGGTTTAAATTATTTTTTCCCTTTAAACATTGAATTTTGTCCATGAAATTTATGTTTGCTTTTATATTTATCTCTCTCATTTTAATTATTCTTTACATAAACAGTCACTCTATAGATTGTCTACGGGTAGTTTGATGAAGTAAAAGGTGACGAACTTACCTAGACATAAGGAGATAAATGTAAATAACTAAATTATGAATAATTTAACAGTTTATGGTGGCTTAGATTGCAGTTTCATGATTTATTTGGAGAGTAAAACTTAGTAAGAGCTAAATTTAACTTTAATTAAATATACCCTAACATATTGAAAAGTAATTAGGACACTTTAGAAATGGTTGTCACTATAAAAGAAGGAAAAATAATTAACTGAATTAAAATAATCTATTTAGGTCTGTAAATCTTGATCCCTAGCATTCGTTTGATTGGTTGGTTCATAGTCTTTTTTGTGTTTATCATTTTCTTATTTGCATTATTTAATTTAAATCTCTTTTCAAAACTCATTTGTTTTTATAAAATAATAAAGATCATTATCTTCTTTTGGATTCAACTCTTAAAATACTTTGAGATTTATTACTACGTCGATCTTGTGCACTTGCAAGGCCGATCAAAATGCAAGAAGGCATCAGCTACTTGGGCCAGCATCAACAAAGTCTGGGAACTCTTCATGAGTTGGCAAGAAAATTAGGAATGGATCCAATTCTAGCTTTTGTCAACCAGAGTAGTCGTGATTTCAAATCTAATTCTATGGTTAAAGATTTTCTGCTAGACAACGGTGCCTGGGGCTTACAGCGATGTTCTGCCATATTTCCCCCTCCTGCATTAAGCTGTATCATCCCTGTCAGAGCTAATCAACTAGCGCAATGGCATTTATGTCGGGAGAAATTCCTCTAATGGCACATTTTCTGTGAAAGCTGCTTACCATTTCATCAGTAAATCTGCCCATAGTCATGAGCACCAAATATGGAGAACACTATGGAAGAGTCCCTTGCTCGAGAAAACCAAAATTTTCTTATGGCAAGCATTCCAAGATAGACTACCTTTGAACTTCCTAAGAGCTCAAAGACACCTTACCAAGGATGTGCACTGCTACAACTTGTGTGAGAGAGAGGAAAACACTTGACACATTTTGAGAGATTGCAAAATTGCCTAGGAGGTGTGGAACATTATTTTTAATGCTAACAAACTTTTTTTCTGGTAATTTACAGGAATGGCTTCGGCGAAAGAGCAACACCAGTTGCTACTCAAACTGGCCCTGGATTGAAGTTTTCAACACCATAAGCTGGCTATTGTGGACTTCCTGATGTAAAGCAGTCTTTGAAGGCTCCAGCGTAATCCATACAACATTAAGCATTTATGTCTACATAAACTCATTGAAGATAATCAAGTGAACCAGTTCAAGAATCAGATTCTTCAGATAAACTGCAGATCAGAGTCCAAGTGGACTGCTCCTCCAAATGGGAAACTCAGATTTGATGTGGATGCTTATGTCACAAATGATCACCTTGGAGCACGCAATGGCGTCATTCGTAACTTTGTAGGTGACTGGTTCTTGGTTTCAAACAGAAGCTGGGTTACGTCTCATGCACCGAAGCAGAATTGTGCTCCATTGTAGCAGGTATTCAGGTGTGTTAACAACACCACTTTTCGCCCGCGTGCATGTTCACCGACTCATTGGAAGCTATGAATCTCATTTAGAGATGGGAATCCGGAACATCCTTTATGGTGGATCCACTACTACAAAATAAGTTTACAGGAGCGCTTTTTTTTTACTTTAGGGAGCGCTTTTGAAGCGCTCTCTTATCGAGCGCTCCGAAATGTATAGGAGCGCTTAAAAAAAGCGCTCTTGTATATACGCTATACGGGAGCGCTTTTCGAAAAGCGCTCCTGTAAGGGAGCTACATACGGGAGCGCTCTCTACAAGAGCGCTCCCGTATGCAACCATACCGGAGCGCTTTTATAAAGAACGCTCCCGTATGAACCATATAGGAGCGCTCCCTGGAAGAGCGCTCCTGTATGTTACTTTACAGGAGCGCTTTTCAAATGAGCGCTCCCGTATATTACTTTAATTTTTTTTAAATCAGATTTTTTGAAATTTCTCCTTTTACGTCTATTTAATAATGACAAATCATAATATCAAAAACTAATTTAAAAATAATATTAACATAAAAATTTATATACAAGAAAAGAATTTGAAACTGATACAAAAATTTTAATTTCCTAACTAACCTAGTTTAATTTCTAACAAGCCTAACAAATGAAACTATTGTTATTTTTCTAACATTGAAATCTAACTTCCTATCACAAACAGCTAATAATATATTCTGACAACTCTTTAACTAAATCTTCTATTTGCTCCATAGTAAAATACAAACATCTTACTCCAACAAAATACTACACAAGATATGAAAGTAATATATAAGGAATTAACATTATATCAACTTAATTTTAAAGTTTTTGACTTACATTTTCAGGAATGATCAACTCTTGTTGTGTGATTACTTCTCTCATAAACTTCATAACATAGTATCCACACTCCCAACCTTGTAATTGTGTAGGTACCTATAAAACAATAAAAGATGTCATTATCAAAATATGGTGGAAATAAATTCTAACTTAATTTAAAATACTTCAGCGATGAAGTTATATATATGAATCATTTCATCAAGACGGTCAACATCATATGTCCCACTATCACGATAAAATGTTGAGTAGCTCGCACTATTCCTCCAATCATTTGCATCATTCCTTGTCTCCCCATGCATGGTCCAACAAGTATAAGTTGGATCAATCCCATTACAGATTAAATGATCTTTCAATTCTATTGGCTTTACTCTTTTTCCATAGCAACATTTCAAACAAGGACATATGACTCCAAGGGGGTCTTGATCACAACAAAATGCAAATTCAATGAATTTATCCACACCATCCCAATATTCTCTAGATAGTTGATTAGCCGACATCCACTTATGATCCATATCACTAATATGATTATCAAAATTCAATAAACAAAAGACTTAGATTTCTATAAAAAAAATTCAACAACATCTTCCTTAAAAGAAGAACCTCCCAAATGATCAAACAATCAAATTCCACAACACAATACATTTAAACTCAAAAAATTAATTCATCCAAATAAAAATTTAGTAGCATAATGCATCTAAATTCTGTCAATCAATTGTAATTTAATTAATAACAATAATCTCCCTTAAAAGTATATTTCATAAATAAAATAAAAATGTTCAAGTAGTTTCCTCAACTTTAATCTAATTATCAACTACAAATACTCCATAATTCTAATATAAATAACTCCAATTCATATATTATCTATAATATTGATTATTAAAAAAATATATATGAAATTTATTCTCAAATATATATAAATATATCAATATATTACATTATAAATTAATTATTAAAAAAATACCTTCACAGTGTAGTCTTCACGGCAGAAAACGGAAGTCTTCACGGCAGTAGCGGAGGTCTTTGCAGCGTTGCTTCCTCGGCTGTACAGCAATGACACACGGCTACAACGGAGGTCTTCACGGTGTCGCTTCCTCCGGTGTACAGCAGCCGCAAAAATCTGAAACAGCAATGTAGATCTAGAATAGTGATGCAGGAGATGGCGGTGACGGCGACGGCAGCGCAAAAACAGAGACAGATGGCGCGACATGACATAGAAATGAACAAACAGTGATGAACACTAATCTGGAACAATGAACAGCAGCAGACGATGATTTGGAACAACGAACAGCGGCGAACGACGATCTGGAACAGCGAACAGCGGCGGACGACGATCTGGAACAGTGAACAGCGACGGAAGATAGACTGATACAGCGATGATCTGGAACTCGTTGGGAACGCACAACCTCAGCAAATGAGGGAGAGATTTGAAAGAAACTCATAAATAGGAAAAAGAAAACTGACGGGAGGCAGAGAAATAAAAGACCACCTCTTCCGGAGCGCTCATTAATGAGCGCTCCGAAAGAGGTGGTCTTCCGGAGCGCTCTTCAAAGAGCGCTCCGGAAGATCTCTCTTTCGGAGCGCTCTTTGACGAGCGCTCCGGAAGAACAACTCTTTCGGAGCGTTCATTAAAAGAGCGCTCCGAAAGATGAGCTCTTTCGGAGCGCTCATTCCAAGAGCGCTCCGAAAGAGTTGATCTTCCGGAGCGCTCTTCAAAGAGCGCTCCGGAAGATAGTCTTCCGGAGCGCTTAACTACGAGCGCTCCCGAAGGTCTTTTTAAATTTTTTATAATATTCTATTTATGAGCATTATCTTATTGAAAAGCCCTGACATACAGGAGCGCTTTTCTAAAAAAGCGCTCCGGTAAATTCTGCATTTACATTTTAGAGCGCTTTTTAAAGAAGCGCTCCTAAATACCCGCTCCTAAAGATATATTCTGTAGTAGTATCATTCAAGATATTCGTCCAACGCTACATTTACTTCCCGACTTTGAACCGCATGATTCCCACAGGAAGGGCTTACCTGTGCAGATATTCTTGCAAGGAATGCTCAACCTAGCTCTTGTACATTTTCCTGTTATGACTTTGTTCTTCCTGAATGTGTCTCTGCTATCATGCATGACAGAAACTCTTTTTTGTACTGTTACGCCTACAATGTAATCATGCTTAGCATGCCCTTTTCAATTAAAAAAAAATCCATATCAAGCCAGCTGTGCCTTTGTGGTTTACTCCAGTGCTTGTAATCTGCATGACACGAGTTCGAAAATTGGCTGGCATCTAAGAAAAAAAATTCCATATGAAAGTTTCTTCGACTCTTGACTCTCATTTTCCCATCATCCAAATTAGTTCCAACTTCCAACCTCTCTTCTCCTCCCTCTCTCCATCCCTCCTAGTCACCTAACTCACCCTCATTCTCACTCCTTGACTCCCTTTTTTGATAGATGAGGTAGAAGGAAGAGGCGAGAGAGTAAGAGTTAAGGGAGGGAGGTTTAAACCAACATAAATAACAGAGAGAAGAGAGTCAGGAATCGACGTAGTTTTCATGAGTTTTGAATCAAAATGCATCTGTGGTTGTGAAATAACATGATAAAATGCTGTCTATGATTTCTACCCGTTAGGACAAATTTGAATACAAATATTTTCATGTATGTCACAAACATGTACGGCTCCATTATGAATTAGATACCTTTGCATTGTTTCCTGAAAGTTGTTGAATAAAGTTGCACCATAACGTAGTTTAGAATGTCTGTAGCTCGCCCCAACATATTTTATTTAGTATTTTGTCTCCTTACTCCATTTATATTTAGTACAGCATGTTTGACTCATAACCTTTACTTAAAAAATGTCTTGCATCAATTATAGATATGATTTTTGTGTCATTTTTTAAGGCTGATAGGCGAAATTGTACAATAATATAGTTTGAGATGTTGGTAGCTTTTTTGCGAAATATTTTATGTAACCTGGTCCAAAATTTGATGAAACAAAAGACTGGAGGATTTTTTTTTTCTAAAAAACAATTTATTCATTGAAGACAAATATAACTTTTTCTGAGTAATTATAACATCCTAATATTGAAAATTATATTCTAGAGCCAATCACTATATTATGAACATTGTTATTTAATGAATTTTTCTTTTGTTATCATATTAATTACATGTTCACTGTGATAACTGTATTCTTAGACAAACTATAGTGATTGTCCTAAATGTTCATGATCGGTCATCTATGAAGGATCATAGATGAAACAAGACTAGTATAATTTTGATTAATTATAGAGATATAAATTAAAATTGTAGGCACTTGAAAGGGTGGTAGGTGCTAGACCAACCTGCTATCAGAAATTTGTATGATACAAGCTATAAGCTTATCTCATATGTAACCATTTAAATTCTTTTACTTGAGAACATCATGGATTCCTACATAATGATCACTGAACTTTGACCTAATTAAAAGTCACCTTCAATCTGGTGATTATAAAAACTATAATTAAATTTAGTGATATTCATGAAAAGGAATATGAGTGGTCAAGTTGAAATTTTTTCCTTACATTAATTAAGAGATATTACTCAGCCGCTCGATGAGTAAGATTGAAAAAATGTATAGTTATACTATAATGGAAAGTGTTTTTTCATTGCTATAGTTAGTCCACTCAAAGATCGAGAAAGTAATAGTCAAGTAAAGGAGAATGACAATTTTATGTCTCACACTTAACCAAAATATCACATGACAAATGGAATGTGATGGGTTACATCAGATCATCGATCTTTATATGAATTGGGTAGTCATAATGTCTTGCTAGAGGTTACTTATGACTTGTAGGTTAATAATATTATTAGCCTATTGCCAAATTCATATGAGCCTATAGAGTTGTACACAAGAACAACCCAACTTAAACTATAATGTTCAAATTCATTGAATTAAAAATGTGTTTAGATTTCATAAATGTAATACTTTATTTAAAGTAAACGAATTTTATGTGTGTGTGTTTAAATATTTATCTCATAAGTATTTAGATATATATATATATATATATATAATATTTATGTGTATGAAATATAAAATTCAAAATATAATATTATATATATTTATTTTTTTGAAATATATATATATATATATATATTTGTGTATGTATTATGTATATATGTATATATATCTTGTGTGTGTGTGTGTGTGTGTGTGTGTGTGTGTATTATTACATTGTGTTTGTTTTAAATTTAATTTCATATGATAATTAATTTTAACAACTAATATGATATCAGAGTATGTCATATCAGTTTTATAATTTAAATTTATAAGATAAATTTAAATAAGATATGATATGATATATTTAATTTATGAGATAAATTAAATTTTATTTTCACTGACTCAAGATATGATTTTTAAAATAATTATAATTATTTTAAAAAATTCATAAAAGAAGACATCAAACCCTAATGATATATAATATAGAGAAGGATGGGCTTTCTAAGTAAGAGACAGACTTCTTCACAATAAAATTCTTGAGAGCCATGAAAAAACTCTAGAGAAAAAAAGAAGAAAAAAACGACATCCAATTTAGCTTTTGCATAAACAGACAAACATTAAGAGTGCTAGCACGCTATTCGTATTGAAAGTTCTTTATATAGATATCGATAGAAGGGAGCCAATCTGTATTATCAGCTCATTAGATCCAAACACTTGAAAGAGGCTTGAAAGTGTGACATATAAAAAGTATTTTTTTTATCCACCTTAATTTAAATGAATTCGATCTATCCACTATCATGATTGTTGTTCATTGATTTTGATTTTAACGTTTTCATTGCGTCTTCAATCCAACACCTAGTATTACTTTTGATATATATATATATATATATATAAGACCCAGTTGATTAATTCACATTAAAAAATTAATTAAATTGGTTATTTTTCATTATTGTGCAAAAATGTATCACTTTTCTTAAAGTGTCCCCATAGAGAGAGGGCGCTTTAAATGTGAGATAGAGAAAGAAAAATAGTGAAATTAATAAGACTAATTTACAACATATTAAATGAAGGAGATGAAAAATTGAGATCCTCTATTTAAGATCAAATCAAATCTTTTAATTAGATTGTATGTTTAGGACCATGAGTAATTCACGATTCATGTTTAAGCCTTTTCTAAACCTTTCTATCATAAATTGTCTTACCATTCATAAATACTTTTTCATAATTTACAACTATATTTCGCATCATTTACAAGTGATTCATAACATCATGATGGATAGGACAAAGGACTCCGCGAGAATCATTGGTGTGACTGGTAAGTGCATTGCTACAACATAAATCCAATATAAATGTAATTGCAATTAAACAGGATTATGTTGTCACATCATTCGTGCTATGAAGTGTGATTAGTTTTTGTGCGCGTTGTACTGCTTCCACAAAAAGAAATCAAATTATACTACACAATGATACTCATTCTATAATGAAATGAGTATTCTTATTCTAAAAATGTCAAGCTTAATAAGTTGACCTTGATCATGCGCGCAACGGCCATTAAATTATATAGGCGGGCAAAACAACGTATATCAACATAATTAGTAGCCTACCGTCGATTTGATTGCATCCAATATCTGCATCAAACGGATGGCAGAAACTACTATCAAAGGCAGCTTTCGTTATTTAGCACAAGAAGTGCACTCAAAGAAGCGCAGAAAATTAAGGAAGCGCTACGAAATTACCTTATTCTTGGTGGGCATGTAAAAGGGTTCAAAAACTAGAGGGAAAGGGGTGTCCAGACCGCAAATTCTTGTTATTGGAGCTTCTAACTGCACAACATACACAAATAAAAACACGCTCTAAGAAAATGGCCATCTTAGTGCAAGATAATCTAGAAAGCAGACAAACATTTCCAGAAGATTTCATCAACTTAGAAGCATGCATGATGTCCTTACATCCAAGTTGCACATCAACTTTTCGTAAAATAGTTCCCCACAAAAAAGGAAAAAAAAAATCATTTAGTAAACAACAAGATGCAAGATTCCAAGGAGCGGCATAATTCATTAAACATTGAGCCACATAGACCACAGACAGTCCTGCTGGTTACAAATGCTAACGGTATGAAAACTAAGAAACAGAATGAAGACCATGTTTAAGCTCTATAAAATGTAGTCATGTAAATGAAATGGCGCAAGTCTAAAAGATGGTAAAAGTGTTGCCAATAATCACACTCAAGCTCTCTCCATTTCGTTTAAGAATTCATATATTGCACTATGCATAGAATGTCATATTCCGCAAGTCTAGAATGAACACGTAAGGTATTCCTGATGGGCCCGTGGGTGCCCAAATACGGGAAAACCTATGTTAGGGGAAAAAAAATAAACAAAGGTAAAGAAGACCACAACAGATGGTAAGCGGGCGGTGGTTAATAGTGCATCGATATCATGTGTTGACTGGGGTGAGCCAGTGTGGGCGGGTTATCCGTGAGAGGGTGCAGGAGAGGCTAAGCAAAAAGAAACACTAGGGAAAGCTCCGGCTTTTTGAATATCAGGAGTGGTTATCCCCTTTATGCATTTAATTCTGCTTCTCTAGCTGTGCTGTACTTCTCTCCCATTGTTAACTGAGGGAAGGAGATTCCGTTTATGTTCAAAAATAATACCAGTGTTTGAAGGATTCACCAATTCCCAAGGACAAGGCTTAAGGCCATCAAGTATATCTTGTTCTCTTATTTGATTTAAAGAGAATGGGCTACTCGCTGCATATTTGACTGAGTCATTTTATTTAATGTGCTCTGTTTTGAGTGTCCATTCCGACTTCCGAGCATGCCTTGCTTATTTGGTGACTTTATTCCCAAAATAATATCAAAACGAGCTAATTATATCATAACATTTTATGAATATAAACAAATGCAAACTGCAATAAGTTAAAGTGATATAATGATATAATATTACAGGTCATTTCATACAAGAATTTGGATGAAGAAATGACAGAAAAAGTATAGTCAATCAGAATATGTGATATGGACTACTCCAATTAGGATTTTATTTACAATGTTCCTATTATACATCACAACAAACATACAATTATGTTGATTTATTATGGCACCTATTTTCATTCATTTAATAGGTAGGTTGAGAAAAAAAACAGCACAACAGTTTAGTAAAAAATCTTATCCAATGTTAAAATTCCTGAAATAAATCAAAATATATTTGGTGCATGAATCTGTTTTCTTTCCAACTATGCCCCATTTGCCTACAAGAGTTTTCTGCCACAGAAGATAGCTACTAGGAGAATTAGTTTAACAATTATATGAAGTGAGGATTCAAGTAATACCCGTGAGAAGCAGCGTTCAACAATGGAAGCGGAGATTTCAGCACCAAAACCACCTGTTACCGGAGCTTCGTGACTAATCTACAAAAGACCTTCAGCACATCAGCATGAAAATACCACCCAGAGACAAATGTCAAACTCCGGAAAATATTTACTCACGAGTAGTCTTCCAGTCTTCTTGACAGACGCTTCTATCATGTCCTTATCCCAAGGTATAAGTGTCCTCAGATCTATTAATTCACATGAGATTCCATCCTGCAGAATCCCAAAACCATATTACAGTTTCAATAAAAGATGAAATTTCAGATTTGATGATACAGAATAAATATCTCAATCTCTGATGACATGGACATCTAAAATTCCAGGCTTTTGCAGCAATAGTTAGATGCCATTTTTTTGAAGATGCACAAGTCCTCATGTTGTGTATTTGAGTGGAAAAAAAGAAATTAATTGACTCAATATAATAATTCTTACTTGAGCAAGTCAGCCACAAGATTTAAATGTAAGCCTAAGAATTGTTTAACAGATTGCATCATCTTATACCATTTTTGGATATGCAACAAATAATGACAGTTACATTTTTTTTTTTTTAATATGGAGTTTTGGTGAGCTGGGTTTAAGGTGCTCGCCTTGAAGTAGTTTATAAGATACTGATGCATATGAAATGCACCCCAGGAAGAGGATTGCCATTGAAAAAGAGAAAATAAGCTAGCGTGGAGGTATTCACCAGTGGGGATCTGTAAAGGACAGAAGATCAACTTCAGGATATCGTACCCCTGTATGGGGCAATCTAGTCACTTGGAGAAGCAAAAGAAGAGATGCTGTAGCCAGAAGCAATGCAGACTTAGAATTTAAGGCAGCTTCTTAAGAAATGAACAAGGGTGATGGTTAGGATATTGAAAGAGAGGCCTCTTCAAGCAGCAAAATGTAATGAGTGGCTCAATTGATCACAAGAATGGTTGAGGCAATAACATAGGCATTGAACCAAGGCTAGGTAAACCAAAAATGGCAAGAACACCACTGTAGACAGTTTGGTCGAACACAAATAGCCCCTTACAAGAACCCCACCAGCACAGCATAAAACACAGCACAGATGAACTTGATCTAGCCTCTATGGCTGTTGGTGACGTTCTCTGGCTGAGTAGCTGCCAGAAAAACCTTCCGTGCGTCACACACCAACGTGTGGGAAAGCATGAATAATTAAGAATATACTTCTAACAGTTATAAACAAAGCTAGAATATTTTTCTTCAACTCCTACATTCTACCTAGAGTCGGGAATAAGGGCCGGGCCTGGAGGCCTTATTTAAATAAAGGTTCGAGCTTTAAAAATTACATTTTTTAAAGTAACTGAGCTTTAGGGCCTGACTCTGATAAGCCCTGTAAAAAAAGACTCGGACTTGGGCGGCCTTTCCAGCCCTGATAAGCTTGATTATCTTACACACACACACACATATTTGATTGATAATGACACAATTTGTTTAATATTTATTATAGGTGATGATGAAGAAGTTGTAGAGATAATTGATATTGAATCTCCACCTCCATTTTCAACAAATGAATCTACATCTAATGGATCTAATATTTTATTTTTAGATGATGATGAGGAGAATTTAGATTTACATTGATGAAGATTTTAATCTTCATCTTAAATTTAAAATTTAAAATCTTTGTCGAATTTTATGTAAGGCTTTGATTTGTTTCGTGTTGAATTTTAGAATATTTTATTTAAATTAACATGTTGGATTTTTTTGGGGAAAGAGGGCTTAGGGGCCCCGCCCTAAGCCCTTTAAATAAGGACCGAACCTTAGAATTAGGTTAAATTTTGTGTAACCGAACTTTAGGGCCGGAGCCCTTAAGGGCCAAGCCTACCCTAATTCCCACCTCTATTTCTGCCAATGACATATTTGACATGATTAACCTTCCGATGCCTCCAGCAGTCATTCCAGATCCCTAACATTCCAAAATAGAACATTCATGGACACAACTTACTCACCTTTCCTTAACCACTACTCCCTACATTAATTCTTCAAGTTGCATAAGGAGAATTCCCAAATGATGATTTAGAAAGCATACCAAAAAAAAAAAGCACAAATAGTGTTAAACAAATGCATGTTTTAAGTGCTTCAGTTTGCAATATAACAATCACTTACTTTTTCAGCATCAAGACAAGCTTGTTCCATTGTAGACAACTGTGCTCCCCATCCAACAAGTGTGATATCCCTACCCTCTCGCAGCACCTGATTGTTTCAGAATCCAGAATTTAGAAATTTCTGATGAAGAACGTTTTTTACTTATTTTACCTAGCATGAATTTTAGTGTACCTCAGCTTCAGATAGAGGCAACACATAATCATCTTCTGGCACTTCTTCAACAGCTAAACGGTAAAGCCACTGAAACCAAGAATTTTCACCTTCTTAATTACAGAGTTTTTGAAACACAATTTGAGGAAATGATTATTTAGTTATTCCTAAAAAATTCAAACCTTTGGTTCAAAAAATACAACAGGATTTGGATCTCGAATGCAGGACAGCAACAAACCTTTTGCTTGCTGTGGACTTCGAGGGATGACCACCTATGCAAGAATTTGAGGGAAAAGAGAACAGTGCATCAACCAGGTAAATAAGACAAAAAGAAAAGACCTAGTTCTCTGCAAGAACAGTGTCAGCGTGACATAATAAAGTTCTTATTTTTACCCCATAGCAATCACAAATTTCAGAAAGATTTATGGTGCACATTTTTAGAACCGAGCATCCTAATTTGATGTACTTGAGTATCCATACTGACTTCCTTTACTTGTCTCATATGACTTAACAAATTTAAATAAGATTCTTGTCCTGTTATAATGCGCAGCAGATCTTTTAAATGAATCTAGATGCTCCCACTTTGCAGCATCAAGCTCAAGGCCTTCTTTCAAAGGACACTACCAAAGAAATCAAGACATTAGGGGCTACATTTCTTAATTAATCCGTGGCAAGGACTATCCAGCCAGAAGAGTACGATTCTGAATGTTATATATATTTCTTTATTTTGGTTAATCTGGGACAATATCTTTGCTATGATTTTCATAGGAATTTTATAGATTTTAAGGCTAACTGGCAATTTTTAGAAGTGCAGCACATTATCTCAAAAATAATAATTTAGTACTGTTCAACCAGGTGAAAAATTTTTACTGGGTATCTTTTTCTGTTGTTCAATCAAAGTAGCGTGCACAAGCAATTAAGGACTTCCGGAAACACAATCCTTACTAGGTCAAATCTAATAGAACCGTTCAAATGGCAAACTACCCTGAATCTGCTAAACAAACAACCTTCCTACCATCAAGATATAGAATATTTATTCAAAATAACAGAAAGAAAAAATAGTCCATAGAGAAAAACCATAAGTCACAGTAGTCTAGTCAACAATCAATATTGGGCCTTTTTGGAGATTGAGGGGGAGCGTTAGTGGTTATGATAATCTCATCATCTAATTCATATTTGATACTATCATACATCCCTTTCCTTTATGTTGGAAAATCAATCTCAAAACAAGTGTAGGTAGTAGTTGAAAGTATACAGTAGTAGGTAGGTAGTAATAATAACACATGATTGGTAATTAACTCCATTTTTCGGGATATTCATTATAAAAAGGAATCAATGTTGTCTTCCCTAATTCAGGTCCTTCTTTATAATTGAGTTCAATATATTCTCCTCAAACATTGAATTCTGACAAATTTCTAAAATCCCTGATTTATGTTGACCAAAAAAAGGCAGAGCTTCTCGAATCACCATCAATAGATTGTTTCTATATTTGTTCAGTGAGGTGCGTATAAATCATTTATTTAACGTTAAACGTCTCAAGTACCCTTACTTAAAGGGGTCTCAAGTTCCCTGGAACTTTACCACAAACTTATTAGAATTTCACATAATGCATAACCTTCACAATCACGCACAAGTCTTCTGTGTTTGCAGACTATTTTCAAGTTCAGGCTTATCCAATTATCTGCAGGAAGACCCCATTTAAACATTAATGCCGTTATTTATTGGACAACCCGGCATGAGGATAACCATACTATTTCATACACACCAGTTCTAGCACTTTACAGTGACAAGAACCGCATTGTAATCAAGCTATATTAAACAGCGGAGAAATGAACAGATGTACAGAAAAAGCAGGTTTCTGAATGGTAAGCAGAAGCCTGAAGAAAGCATCATACTTTGATACCAGGAACATGGCAAAAGAATGCTTCAGGGGATTGAGAATGGTAATGTCCACCATGGCCTACAGCTCCATAAGGAGCTCGAATTGTTAACCCTATAGGAATGAGTAAAATTTTGTGATTCAACAAGCCAAAAGAAAGAAACAAACCAGAAACTTCAAAAGGAAAAAGGTAAAAGAAATTTACCACCGCAATTAAATTGATTCCCACTACGATATCTGAATTTAGCAGCTTCATTAACAATCTAGAATACCAAAAATTGGTTAATTACAGGTATGACATGGCTTTAGCTAATCATAGCCACAGGAAGGGTGCATGCCTGATCAAAAGCGGGAAAAATATAATCTGCAAACTGGATTTCTGCAATCGCTCTATTGCCCTGTCATTAAATTAAGACCAAGAATTTGCACTATAAGCCAGTCGCAACAGAATAATCATATCAGATTGTAGTTGTTTGATTGTAAAACAAGCGACAAAGTTATTGAACTTCTTACACTCACCAATGCTGCAAGACCAATGCCAAATCCAACAATGCCCTGTGAGAAATAAAACTTCGGTTTATAATTCTAAATTTGCTGTGCCGAGTAGATACTGAATTAGGAAAGAATTAAAAAGAAACTTAAGGGGAAAAAAGGAGGCATTAAGTGAATCATGTACTGGTTGCTAACAAAGTCTCTGAGTAAAAAGTCATGAAAGGATTGCATTCCACAGAGTTCTAAAAAGATTCCTTTGTACTCTTGTTTTAATACATCTTGACTATGAACAATTACAGGAAAGGGAAGGAGAGAGATAAAAAAAGTGAGGCATTGCATTTGCAGAGGAATACAGAACATATATACCTGCTCGCACAGTGGAGTATTAAAAACCCTGTTTTTACCAAACCGGTCAGCTAATCCTGTTGTGCAACGGAATACCCCACCAAAGCTTACATCTTCTCCAAAAACATAAGCACTGGAATCAAATAAAAGAGAATAAGTAGCCATCTTTAAAAAGTGTGCTGCTCACAAGAAATTTTAACAAGATGAACGTAAAGACCATTGAGCCATCCTTAGATACAATTGCATGTACAAACATTAAAAGAATACTGTGGGAATATCTGAATTTATTGTAAATATTCTAGTCTGATTATTAGGGATTATTGTTCGATAGTTAGGAGTTATTAGCACTTATTACTTCGTCTCCCAATGTTGTGTATAAATACTGATTGTAACACAAATTTTAGAATGAATAAGAAATATATTTCTCTCAATTTCCACATGGTATCAGAGCAAGTAGGGTTCAGAAAAATTTCTTAAGGTTTCTGCGTAGTTGGGTCACATGGCAACACAGCTGTTGCGCTAGCCATACATGTCAATCATGGTGGAGGCCTTTCTGACTCTCACTGGCATAGGACGACTCTTCAGGGTGCGATCGGCGAAACCCACAAATTTGGTGACGATCAGCAATGCGTGGAGCCCACACACACCACCTAAAGATTCTGCAATAGTTGCGGCCAGGCAGCACGTAGACAACCTGGGTGAGCAGCAACATCTCCAATTGCACTCGCCTTGGTGTTTTCAGCCAGATCCACCCATTAACCGAGTCTCAGGAGCCTTATTTTGAAGTCTTCTAGTCTTGGGTGTCTTGTCTAGCGCTATTCTTTGTCACTGTGGCTATTTCTCAGTGACCACTTTAACCCTTGGTTCCCCTTTGCTAATTCTAGAGTGCTATTTGTGGTGGCTTTCAGCTTTATATGTGTCTCTACTTTTTGGCATACAAAGGGTACTTCGATCTCCAATTGATACTGTCATCGTAGGGAACATATCAGAGTTTGTGTCCCCTGTGTTAGTGGCTAAAAAAAGTACCTTCCTTCAAGCCTTAACAATCACAAGAAATACATCTCTATGGATTGTTGATTCTGGAGTCTCTAACCATACGACTAATTGTCATGAGTTGTTTTCCACTTACACCCCGTGTGCCGGGAATGTTAAAGTAAAGATTGTAGATGGTTCCTTGGCACCCATAGTAGAAAAAGTGAGTATTCGTATTTCCAACTTGATAATGCTGGAATTTGTTCTCCATGTTCCTAAACTTGATTGTGATTTACTTTCCATCAGTCAGTTGATCAAGTAGTCACATTGTTGTGCTAAATTCCTCCCTTCCCCTTATGTGTTTCAAGACCTATCATTTGGAGTGACAATCGAAAGTGCCAAAAAGTATGAGGGGCTTTACTATTTCAAAGTCACCACTCGAGTGGGTAACTCATCGCTTGACATCAAAAATGCTTTCTTGAATGGTGAGTCGAAGAAGGAAGTCTATATGACTCTGCATCCTAGGTTCTATAAAGACAGGGACAATCAAGTTTGTAAGCTGAAAAAGTCTATATATGGCTTGAAACAGTCACCAAGAGCTTGATTTGATAGGTTCTCAAGAGTCTTAAAAACTGAAGGTTACAAGCAAGTCTTGTTCGATCATACAACGTTTATTAAGGTCGAAGGAAGCGAGAAATGTATTCTTATTGTCTATGTCAATGACATAATACTCATTAGAGACCACCTTGACGAGATAGAGAGAGTGAAGGCCGCCCTTGATAAGGAACTTAAGGTCAAGGATGTTGGGTCGTTAAAGTACTTCCTTGAGATGGAAGTTGCCAGGTCAAGAAGAGGAATCTATGTTTCTCAAAGAAAATATATACTTGATCTCCTGACAAAGACAGGTATGCTGGTTTGCAGCCCTATTGAAACTCCTATTGAAGTCAAGAAATCGAAGAAGAAGCCTAAGGTGAACAAGGAAGGTGAAAAAGAAGAGGAGGAAGCTAAAGAAAAGGAAGAAGCAGCTGACAAGGAGAGATATCCGAATTGAGTGGGAAAATTGATATATCTCTCTCATACGAGGCCAAATATAGCCTTTGTTGTTACTGTAGCTAGTCAATATATGAGTTATCCAATGCAAAGTCACATGAAGGCAATCTACAGGATTTTGAGATGTCTTAAAGGTACTCCTGGTAAAGGCTTGTTCCTTAGAAAACATGAGCAAAGATCCATCAAAGTTTACATTGATGGAAGTTGGGGTGGAACCTATAAAGATCTAAGGTCAACCTCTACCTATTGTTCATTTGTGCGGAGAAATTTGGTTACATGGAGAAGCCAAAAGCAAAGAGTTGTTTCAAGAAGTAGTTGTGAATCTGAATTGAGAGCTTTGACTCAAGGAATAGCGGAGGAATTGTGGCTAAAACAAGCCTTGAATGAAATACAAGTTGAAGCAAGTTCATCATTGAAGTTTAACTATGATAATAAGGCTGCTACAAATATGGCCTTAAATCCGACACAACATGACAAACCTAAACATTTTGAGATAGATTGACACTTCATTAGAGAAAAAGTAAAAGTAGGAATTCTATGTTTAACATATTTGTCTACAAAGTTGCAAGCAACTGATGTCTTAACTAAAGGGTTGCTTAGACCTACATTTGAAAATTACATAAACAAGTTAGATATAATTAGCATCTATGATCCAACTTGAGAAGGAATGTGAAAATATTTGAATTTATTGTAAATATTATAGCCTGATTATTAGGGATTATTGTTGATTATTAGGAGTTATTAGCATTTATTACTTTGTCTCCCAACGTTGTGTATATATATTGATTGTAACACATATTTTAGAATGAATAAGAAATATATTTCTCTCAATTTCCACAAATACAAATTATGTCCCCCCATCATTTCTCCCCAGATTAAAGGAACTCTCCTCTGAAGAGTAAAACAATTAACATGACACAAGAAGGCAAGATGTGAGTGGGAAACTCCAAGTAGTGCCTAAAACCATTCTAGCAAACAAGATGACGGTGGACGGCATCAAGTGAAGAGAAAACAATCTGAGCATTTAGGAGTATAGCAGTTGTGGTGTGACGGACATTAACTAAGGAAAATCTAGCTAGAAAACCCATTCTCAGTGTTCCAAATAGCATTCAAGTTTAGAAAGCCTTCCCAAAAAACAAGGTACTAGTAGGGAGGATTATCAGATGAGATAAAAACTTGCCCTTCTATAATCACAACAATTTTCACAGTAAGTGGCATAGATGGACAAGGTGGAACCTGGGTGTGATGAAACCAGGTGCTAACATTAATAGCTTTAGAAGGCACACTTGTCATTGATGAGGATTGGACAATCTAGTTCCTACTAAGCAATTCCTTTCTATTGACTACATTCTAGAACACAAGAAACAGAGTCCTTGCTCAAAAGTCACAAGAAGCCAAGAGAGAACTAAGGGAAATTTTGTAGGGTTCATTGGAGTGAACACTATAGATTGTGGTGATGAATTACCAGAAAACTGAGTTGTGAGGATATTTCAAGAGATGAATTAGTATTGCTAGATACTCTAGAAGCACAAAATTCATTCTTTACAACGCCACCTATGCTAGGATTGGATAAAGATGAGTCCACAATACTAGAGCTATGATTGGGCTTCATAGTCACAAAAATATCGTGTAGTCATAAAACTGAAACTTCAGTCTTTTCTGATTCATACAAGTCCTGGTATGATGCCTTCTCTTCCTTTTGTCAAAGCTGACACTCTTCCTCTATCATTTCACGGTTGTCTCTATACCACATTACTTACCGAGCAATTGAATAGCACAGAAAAATTTGACAGCTAAGGTGATTACAAAATTCATCCAATCAATGGAGTGCATAATCTTTAAGAGTCCTATCATGTTCATCAAGGTTGGTTTGGATGCCTTGGGTGTTTTGATCAATGACAGATTTAAATAAAAAATCATAGACAAGATGTTAGGATAATAGGATAAATCCTAGTCCCAATAAATTTATTTGAAAGATAAGATAAATAACGTCATTTCAATAAAATATCCTGATTTAAAATAAAATATTGGATCCTATTTATATTACGATAATAATAAAATAATTTTAATTATGTTTTCCATCAGACACAGAATCGAAGTCAGCCATTTTTTACAGAAACTAGAAAATCTAAACTTACATGACTCATCAAAACTACAGCAGAGCTCCCGTAGTTTTTGTACAATATATATTACCAGATTAAAGTTACTCGTATATTCAAATAGAGAAGCTTCAGAAGCTAATTCAGAACTTTTCACTTCAAGGATTCAGTTAAATCTCAAATTAATCAGCTAGACAGAAGGAAAATGGAGGTTACTAAGAACTAATTTTTTAATTCTATATATGTCAATCTTTCCCTCAATGTAATTGATGAGAAGTGTTCAGAATATAGAGAACTGCTGTAGGAAAAATAAGTATTTACTTGAGGTGGGCAGAACAAGAAATTACATCTCTTTACCCAGCACACACACATTTACATCCATGCATTCCTCACTTTTTCCTAGGAATACCTGTCATTTAACGTCCTTCAGAAGCATTTCAATCCTAACAAAATTATCAGAATTCCCATGTTAACATACTTTGGCTAACTAATGATTGTGTTCTGAAGGGGCCTCCCAATTCAATCTTAAGGCACCAGCAACATAAACGCTTCCTTCACCTCTCAACACTCTCATTCTTGCAACTGTTTCACTTTTTTGTCACGGTAAGTGGTGGTTTTAAAGTATAATCTTGTCAATGCTGGTGACCTTTTTTTTTTTCCCAAAGGTATTCTTAATAGATGAAATTGTTTAGGCTTTTGGGAGATTGGATTCGAGAAAGAAACGAAAATGGGTTGGTTTTGATTGTTTCTTTTGATCTGGTTATTAGTTTGATTATGGAGAGTCAAGACTGGCATTTCTTCAAGCCTAGCAAGACACATGGTGTTTGGCAAGAAGTTTGGTTCAACAATCCTGACAGAGGCCTCCGTTCTTTTTTAAGATCTCTGAAGAAACAAATAATTACCAACTCTTATTGTGGGCCTCGGTTTCTTGTTTCAGCAGTTAAGCCACTTGGTAGTAGTAGAGTAGTTGGAGAAAGAGTAAACTCTTTTATTGTCTTTAAAGATGATGTTGCTTCCACATAACCAAATAAGTTAAGAGGATTATTAACCCTCAATTTCTTCCCTAATTAATTTGGATAATAGCCATTTCCTCCTATGCAGACAAAGACCTTGCCTGGTGTTTAGCTCACTTAGAGGTAGTTCACATTCATGGGGATAAGCTAAGTTATCATCATTGATCAAGAACTAGGAGTGCTGTCCTAGATGTCCCACAAACGTTAACTTCACTAAATGAACATTTAAGTGTTGCTACTGTCACATATAAGATTAGGATACTGCTATAGCAGTCACAAATTCAGTCCCAAGTAAAGAGTTGGGGACAAAAGTGACATGATTGACAAAATAGACGCTCAATTAACATCCTTGCCAACTCAAAAATCTCCTCATGTCATTGGACACGAACAATTGAATCTCTGCGGAACATTCTTAAGTTGCCAGTAGAAGTAACAATTAATCAGCCTTACAACAATCCATGAGTCAATAGAACTATCATCGAATTGTCATTGGCAACCACACGATGACATTATCTAGACCCTGACAAAGCTCCATCATCTCTTAACATGACCTCGAGCCACACCCCTCTCCCCTCCATTCAGATGACAAACTAAAGTAAGGAATTTCATTATATCAAATGCTCATCATATCACAACGGATAGTTGAACCAAAGGATAGAAGAGAAGGAAGACAAACGTACAAAATATTTACTAGCATAAGAAACCCACCGTGGATCAGTTTCCAAGGCAATGTGAAGAGCTTGGTTGATCGCGGAATAAAGGTTTAATGATTTCTGGCTTAGCTCAGCACCCTTTTCAAAACAAGAGGAATTCGAAAACTCCCTCTTGGAAATAAAAGAGATCCACCTTCCCAATCCCCTCATGCTGGCAAACATGTCTACACTACAAAAGAAGCAATCTAAGCTTATTTAATGGGCAAGATAAGTCAGAGTGGTTACAGTTTTTATTTATGTAAAAAGAGAAATCATAGTTCTAATTTCGTTCTACAGGAAACAAAAAGTAATTTTAAGCAAAATATTAGAAAAATATAGGGCTTAGAAGCATGCTCCACCAGCAAAGAGTTCAAGATAAACAAATATTTTGATTAGGAGCACAAGCAAACGAAAAACAAAGTAATTTCAGTTAAAACAACGAAAGATTACAAGCAAATAGAATGTTTCTGCAAGTCTTGAAACCCTCTATAACGTGTTGTGTGTTAAGTCCTAGAGCTAGAGGATAAAGCCGAGAACAGCGGCAAATACGCTAGTAATTACACAAAGGTAGATGCTGACGTTATCGTTCTAATCCTGTCCACGAGATCGCGAGAAGGACGAAGGGACCCAGAAACATGGATTACAATAAGCAAAGAAGACGACGAAGAAGAGGAAGGAAGGCAATGAGGAACAGGACAAAAAAATCCAATTACAACCATCCCTGGCGAGAAATCCACCTTAAAAATTAACTGCAGGTTGGTAGTTACCTAATAAAATCATGTAGGCGCAACTCACGCTGTGTTTCGCATCTCAAGTAAATTGGAAGTTACTTTACTATCTAAATAGCCACAACTAGGCAAATTGACATGCCTAGTCGCATGGATGCATGGAGATGACGCCTCTTGGTGGAAGAATTATCATCGGTTCGATTCCGCTGACAAGTGATTCGGTTGACCGATGTAATCCCAATAAAAAAACCCCGGCAGGATTAGTTTGGTTTTGTGGATGGAATAAAGAATTGGAAAAATTACAAAGAAGGAACTCTAAATATCACAAATAATCTATCAGATTACAAAATTATGAAATTAATTGTTAGGACCATAGTCTTTTTTTTATAGTTTCAAAAATAATACTTTGATTAAAATGATTTTTAAGATTAAATAATACAAAACTTTAAAAGTGTAAAAATAACACTTTAACCTTTAAATTTTAAGAGAATGATAGTTAAGTTTTAAAAAAATAAATAAATTAATGAAAGTTAAATTTCAATAATTATTTTAAAAATGAATTACAAATATTGATTTAAAATTTGAAATTTCTAAAATTTCAATTATAAATAAGACATTTAGGTTATAAATGTAACTCTCAACTTACAGTTAGAATTTTTATTTGCATTTGTTTGAATTGATATTTGGAAGTTAATTGTCATTACAATAGTCTTCTGGGATTTTATTGTTATTCTCCAGATTTTAGACTGTCAGGTTTGTGGGGATGACCTCTTGCTATCAACTATCTTATTTCACTAACAAAACAGGCTTCAATACCGAAACACCAGTTGCTAGCCACTGTACAACTGCCACTGAAACTTAGCCAACACCATGTGTGAAAACACTAAAAAAGTGACTTGGGACAGCCGCAGGTTAATAATCCGACATTAGTGATGATGGCCAATCAGAGCTCTGACAACCAATGGTGAAGGGTTAGACTCTTCCTTGAATTAACAGCATTTTTTAATGAATTAATAGCAATTTTTAAATAAAAAAAACAAATTAAACTTGAAATAGTTTGATGAAATAATACTCATTCACTTTTTAAAAGCTCCTTCGATAAACTTTTCCAAAAATTAACTACTTTTTGAAACTAAGAAAGCATTTTCCTATTTTCGAGCGTGATAAACTTGAACAGGCCATAAAACATAAGGGGCTTGGGACTCGTAAAATATTTGTACGTATTACAAAACTAAATTGTATTCCGACTTACTGTGAAACTTCATAATAATTTTCCCAATAAAAATCACATCTGATGGCATTTTGATAACTTCTCATTCAAAATCAAACATGAGCAGTTCTCGACTACTCATTATATTGATAATGATACGCAAGTGGAAGCTTCACCGCACGGATAACTGCAATCGTTCTATTTCGTAGAATCGTCATGCTCAAACAGGAAAAACTGCAATCCTCGCCCCAACATACTATTCTATAACAAACGCATGCAAATCAAAATCTGAAAATCACATAGAGGGTCAGGATAGCCACGTCAAAGAGAAACCAAAATACTCGCACCAACTAAGCAATAATTTCCCGCCTTGCTTCCATATCTCTTGAAAGTAGAAACAAATGCAAAGCCTCTCAACAACAAAGCACCGAAATAAGCCAAGAAAAAAGGGGAAGACAGACGATGAAAGGAAATAACCAATAACCTAAACGCCTACTATATTTCAATATTTTCTTGCCTTGCTTCCAGATTTCTTTGCTAGTACCAAAAGCAATGCCCCTAAACAACAAAGTACTAGGTCATAGCGCCAAATTCATGACAGGGAATAACTGACAAAAAGGGGAAGCTGAACGAAAACGACCCTAGGAGTAATAAAAACGGCTAGGAGCTAAACAAAACCCAATGAAAAAGAGTTGGTCATAGCATTCTCCAATCTAACTGCTCCCTGCGAAACTCGAAAATATACAGATCATTATCCCACTTGTCAATCAATCATCATACTCGAGAAAAAAGTAAGATATCCAACCAGGAGGCAGCAAATTGCTCAATAATATATGTTGACAGCTTAGCATCGGAGCTCCAGTCTAGGTCACCACCGCCACAAGACATGGCAGAGGCTAGTAACCATTAGCAACCCCATTGGAGATCTTACTCTCAGCGACAACTGCTTTAGCACCCTTTGGGACATCTCCCATTTTAGCAACAGTACTATTTTCAGAAAATTTGAAGCCATCACTGTTCTGTTCAGCCAGGTTACATTCTTGGAGAATGACAGCAGGAACATTAGAATTTTGAGTTTTAACTTCCGCACTAAGCTCTGTCTTCCCATCAGTAGCCTTACCTTCCCAGACCTGCATCAGAATGATTGAATAGCATCACAAAAATCTTGAGCCCATATATAATACCTGCAAAAACTATAAACACGGGTGAAGATGCCTTGCCTGCTTTGGAAATTGCAGCTTCACTTTCTTCTCCAAAATTGTTTTCTGGCGGTCCTCATAAAATGCAAAATCATCCAAAATGCATGTCTTACTGGCATGCTCCTTAAAAATTTTAATCATTTTTAACCCAGGCTCCAACATTACCTGCAACCAAAGACTTGTTATACAGATTAAATGCAACATTGCAAGCGGCAATGACATACAATCATGTGTGAGCGCACATGCAAAAAAACCTTTACTACCTCTTGAGAATCCCTGCTGTTAGTGACAGGTTTGTTCTCGTTGTTTTCCAAGGTAATGTGCCTCAACAAATTGTTTGGAACATCCTTCACCATGTGCCACTTCAGAGGAAAACAACCATTCCACTTGTCTTGTTGCCAGTACTCCACACTCTTGTTAAAATCAACTGGACCAATCATCTCTGCGAGGCCAACAAATTGTCCACTGGTATTAACCTGGCATAGGAACCTAACAAATGAGATGACAAGTACCAAACAAACAGAAAAGAAAGCTGACAAGCACCAGCAATGGATCACTAACCGAGAAGAAGAGGAACACAGGGCAGGCGCCAGGTTTCTTCTGGGATTCCTGGAATGCAGCATCAAGTTTCTTGTTACCAATCTGTGTACTGGCCCAAACATTATACTTGATACTTTTATGAATATCATCCTCACTATAAGACTTAATGATAAAAAACTTTGCATCAGTGTACTCTTCAAGAAAATCTGCTTTGTTATATTGATCACGATCAGGAATAACCCAGGTCTTGTCTTTTTCCATGTCATTAGTTAGATTTGCATGCAAATTCTGCCCTTTAACCGATAGGGCTATTGGGGCAAGAACCTTCTGGCTCTTACAGCACTTGGCTCTAGGTCCCCTGTTCAATTCATTTAAACCATCAATGTTCTCATTGCTGGAGCCATAGTAGCCACTCCGTCCCCTAATCTTATATTTACTGTCAACAGCTAGCCAAGCACGTCCATTTCCTTGAGAATCATAGCCACGCATCCCACAATCCATGCCTGATCTGATCGTGTTACCATAATGACCATATAACTCGCTTGGATACATCCGATTTATGAAGCCATGAGTGGCTCCAATCGCAGGCAATGGCCTTGGATGGTGCAAACCCTAACAAAGTAAAGAAGGATAATCTTCAACAATCATGTCAGATATATATATATAAATATATATAGAATCATCAATTCATATTATAAACGTGGACAGTTTCAACAGAACAAGCTTAAAGACAAATACGTTTTAAACTTAAAAATAAAAATCATACATACCCTAGGAAAATCAATTCATGTTAGGGCATGTTTGGTTGGAGGGGAGAAGGGAAAATAATATACCCCCCCAACTCTCCCCTCCAAATTGGAGGGGATTCCTCCCCCTCCCTCCCCTCCCCTTCCCTCCAACCAAACATAGTGTAAAACTTATAAAGGCTAGAATGTGAAATACTTTGAAGTTCAAACATACCATAAATTGAGAATTGAGGCAGAAATTATGGCTCCTTGAAGCAGTAACGTTATTGCTCCCAGAAATTGAAGTGATTGCAGCACTAGTCACTGGCCTTGGCTGCCTCTCAGAAATTAGAGGAGCATCAAGCCATGGAATATGAGAGCATAATCCATCAAAACCATATCTTGGATCCTGGTAACCCATAGGAGGTACACAACCTGGCATAGTAGCACCCCTTCTATACAAAGGACTAGAACTAAATGATGAATTTTTATGTGCTAGTTTTTCTGGAGCTGCAACATTTCTACCTTTTACCCTCCCACCTTTTTCAGCGCCATTAGAATTCCCATTAGCTCCTTCCACAGGTACTGGCTTTTGGTCAGCAGTTAAAGAGGAAGAAACCTCACCCTGAGGAGGGGCAGCAGAAGTAGGTGTAAATGACGCACTGGTTGGAGCCAATGGCTGGAAATATGGAGAATACTGGTAGTGTTGAGGCCCATACAACTGACCATCATTTGCAATGGTTGGCACCGGCGACCCTGCTGGTGAATATGGGCCATAAGGAGCATATCCATATCCATGGTGATATACAAGAGACCCATTATCCCCATAAACTCCCTAAAAGTAAGGTAAATGCAATTCAAACAAAAATTTTGACTTGAGAAAATTTGTAATGCACATGAGGATCAAGAATCCCCAAAATAAAGGAAGAAGAAAGAAAAAACTTACAGAAGGCAACTCAACTCCATCAGGATTTACGAATCTAGAATAATCATCCCAATCATTACCAGCCCCATCATAACCTACAAGAAAATTGCATTCCACGTTTATGTAAACCCATATACTTCTAAACTCCAGGGCAACAGTGTCGCTCTAAATATAACATTTACATATTAAATCTTTTTTATGTTAAATATCTGACGTTATTGAAGGAAATTCATGTTTCAAGTTACCTCCATAAAAATAGGCAGCAGAAGGGTAGCCATTGGGGACGTAACACATGGCGGGATCAAAATCTTGCAATAATGGGGTAATCGATCGCTCGCAAGATGGGATCTGATCATTTGCGGTATTGCTGGAATCAAGTAATTCGCATTGATTACCAGTAACCTACACAAAAAGGGGGAAAATCAACCAGATTAAAAATACTAACTACAAGACCTGGCCAAAATATAAATTAGTTGATAAGGTCCTTATCGTCGACTGCTACTTTCGGAAGTATGAAACGCTACTTTATATGATCGGTACGTTAAATCATTACTTTTACTTTCAAGACAACTATGAAAAGTATCGCTTTGCATACTGACAACGAAGGAAATAAAAGGAGGGGGGGAAGGGAGAGCAATTCACGTTCTTTGTGGGCTCAGGAATTTCCAAGGCCTTGGCTTGAGTATCTACAGACAACTTCTGCAGAAAATTAGCTGCTTCTGTAGAAACAATAAAGTAAAGGAAGACGAGGGAAATTGAAATCTTTCACTGCCACAAACAAAAAGAACCCAAATATCTACAATTTGAAACGACTCAATTGAGGCAAACTTACTGCACCACTGTCAAGATTCAAGCAGATTATCCAGTATATAGCAATTAGTGTGAACAGAACAAGTTACAAATAGTCTACCTGACCGAAGAAGGCCTTCATCCTTTCTACATCCTAAGAACCCATGTGTCAATAACCAAAATCCAAAAATATTAAATGCAAAAGGCACAATAAATTAAAATGGACAAGTGCCAGGGCCACTTCTTCATCAGTGACAAATGCAAAAACTCAAGATATACGATTTCCAACTAGTTGGGGGCGGGGGCGACGAAACAGATTGTAAACACGAACCATAAAATCAACTAAGGATACGATCGGCGGGAGCAGCGGTGGCCATGGCAAGGTCAATTACTAGATCTTCAGAAGGTGGGAAAAGAATCAACCAGACCCCCCAAACCCACAACGAGTTATCAAACTTAGAACAGATCGGATTCAGAAGCCTTACAGAGGCGCGAGACAGAGAAGCAGTGAGAAAAGAAACAGCGATTCTCAGCCTCGCAGCCGCCACAGGTTTGGGTTTTGGGATGGGGAGGGTTTTGTTTGTCCGAAAGCGGTGATTCAAATAGCCACGCTTAACGGGCCAGAGAGAAAAAAACAGCACCCCGCTTCCCCATTACATAGCAGCGCGATTAAAGCCAGAAAAGAAAGTGGTATTAAAAAAATGGAGAAACAAGAGACTTTTGTGGTATTTAAAAAAAAAAATAAAGAAACAGAAACAAGAAAACAAAAGACTTCTGAAAAAATTGTATAGAGAATTTGCAATATGAGAGAATTAGAAGAGAAAAACCATGAGGATTTCACGTTCAAGTCACTGACATCTTGCACATGGTCTTTGTCAATAGAACTTGGCTTTGCTCCACTGACAAAACGTGCCTATGCAGCTCCGCTGCATTTTGACCAAAATTTTGACTGTTGAGGTAAATTTAACTTATTCAAATTTAATATTTTTATTTTTATTTTTATTTTATATTAATTAAAATAATAAATTTAATCACCAATCTGAATATGTGAATGGTTTAAATTCTGGAATGTTCAGATAAATGTGGATGGTTTAAATTTAATATTAAGTTTCATTTTTATTTTATATTTATTAAAATAATAAATAATAAATTTAAATGAATGGTTTATATTTATAAAATCTTTCAATAAATCTAATAATCAATTTGGACAACCCATGGTTAATATTGATGGTTCAAATTTATAAAAAAAATTAATAAATTTAATCATCAAGTTGGACAGTTTTGATTTAATATGAATGGTTTGAATTTAAAATTAAAAAATTATAAAAATTTTAGTATTAAATTTACACTACCCAAAATATATCTGGATAGTTAGTTTATAAAAATTATAAAAACTTTAACATTAAATTTAAATCATTTATATTAAAACTGTTGTTCAAATTGATAATTAGATTTATTAAATTTTTTTATCAATTTTTTATTTTAATAAATATAAAATAATAATAAAACTTAATATTAAATTTAAACCATTCACATTTATCCGAACACTCCAGAATTTTCTTAAAATGCAGCGGAGCTGCGGGTGCGCATTGCTCAACGGAGCAAAGCCAAGTCCCTGTCAATAGGCCTTAAATCATTAAAAATTACAAAGATGTATCATTTAGATATCATTCTATTTACAGTGCCTAAAGAACAAAAGCAAATCTGACCAAAATAGAGAATAAAAGCCACCATGTTGTCTTGCCAAGTTATCTTCTCTTGTGATGTTTTCATGGACTGCTGTTGCTCCTCAAGGAGAAGGAACCAAAAATTCTGACCGTAGAGCAGATCGCTTGTGGCTTTAGGGACAAGAAATTCCATTTTGGAGTGTTCTCAACGGGACAAGCTAGCAACCAGAGTCTCATTGACGGTCTGGTCTCGTCCACTTGATGCACACATTTTAGCACGTGTTTGGAAGTTCAAAATAAAATAAAAATGAAATGGTCATTGATAAAATGAAATGGAATATAATATCTGCCTGTTTTAGAATTTTATAGTGAAAGATTGATTTATTTTATTATTTTGACCTGTTATAAAATAAATGAAATCTTAGATTTTGTAAATTGCATTTTCTCACTGTTCTTTGTTCAATATAATTTCTATTATACTCTTATGGAGTGTTAGAATCTAATTGATCTTTCATTATTATAAGGGTTCTTGTGACGTGAATTTAAAAAAAAAAATTGGATGGGTTGTGATTTCCTGAAGTCATCGAGTCATTGTTTAATATTAAATTGCATTTGTTTACTGTTATTTCTATAATGTAATCCCCTTAATACCCTTGTATAATGTTTGAATCCCAAAGTTGGTCCAGAATTATAGTACTTTTGGACCAAACTCTTTAATTTTTTAAATCTAACATTAATAAATTAGTTGTTTTAAAAAATTAAAATTGCAAGTAACATTATATTTAAAAAATTTAAAAATAAAAGAGCAAATAGACCCTTGAAAAAAAATATAAAAGTGAGGTTCAAAGTTTGTAATTGATTTTTCATTTTTTATTTTGCATTTCCTCTCTATTAAAATTTTATAATTCTAATTGTCTATTTTTAAAAAATTTAACTGATTAGAATCATATTCTTTTCCATTCCTCTCAAATTATATAGAGGATTAAAATTTTAAAATAATAAATAAATAAGCTTTATAACTATTAAATTTAAAAAATGAATAAAAATTTAAAAGAACGCATCACTTAAATATTTTGGAGGAAACATGACTACTTTTTAGATGACATTTATATTTAAAAAATTTATTTTAATTAATTCAACATATATGACTTAATTGTTAACTAATAATTGGGTGAATGGAAAAAAAATTAAAAATAGAAGGAACATTTTTGTGTGTGTGTATTGATTTTAAGAGAGATTTGTAGAGATTTTAAAAATATAAAAAAACTACAATTATGATAAAATGGAAGGAGGACAACATATTTTTACTACAAAATCATTTTTAAATTTTCATAATCATTTTTATTTTATCTTAATATGCTAAAACATTCCCAGGAATTAAATCTAGTTTAATATACAATAACTTTGTTATTTTATTGCCTTCATGAGTTCATCTACATAAGAGTATTCAACATAACTTGACACAAGTAACTAACTTGCATGCATAAGTAATTGGTTCTTCCGATTTAGCATCGCATTCACATCAATTCGCATTCAACAATTATTGATCGTGAAGATTTTCAACTGCGAACTTAGCTTAATCCAAATGGGAAAATGACATGAATAGAGGTGAATCATTGTTACCGCTATACTCTCTCTCTCTTTTTTTTTTCCTCCTTGCAAATCATCCTTTGCCATCAGAACATTGGTTTTACAAAAATGGCTATCACACCTAAGGCTATGTTTGGTATCTTAGAATCATAAGAAGGGAAATGGAATCATTCAATTGAGTCATTTAGTACACTTGAATTGCTTTCCTGAAGGAATTCAATTCCATCAAAATTGATGGAATCCAGTTCCATCCTCTAAGCCATGGAATTGACTACCTGAATGTGGAATTGGCTGATGTGTAAGTGTTTTTTCTCTCATACCCTTTCAAACGATGCCCCTCCCTCCATCGATGCCCCTCCCTACTACTCTTTCCTAATAGCGATGATTCCTCGGTCAAAGCTTTCCATCAATGACTCGTTGATTTATTTTCATTTTTTGATTGCCAATAGAACAATCATGCACACAGGACAGCCTCATCGCCCCCTCTTTTTTCTTGCTGTCGTCGTCGAGTGAAAAGTTCTCCCTATTATCACCACCGGTCTGGGCTTCTTCCTTGTCTGTTCTGGCAACGTCTTCAACGTCTTCCACAAGGAAGGGAGGCTGTGTCCAAGCCAATGCATGTGCACGGCAATGGTGGAAGTCCTCAAAACTTTGTCGTCTTGGGGAGTCTGGATCTGGTGCAGGGTATCATGCGTTCATCCCCTCCTACACCTCCAACACAAAGGCATTCAGGTTTGACTGCTTTGGACATTCGAATCTTGGTTTGATGTCCTTTGCACATGTGTGATTTTCTCCTCTATTATTTGTCTGTTGAAGAAGAGGGTTAGAAAAAGAAGACACGGGACATGTGAGGTCTTTAATTTTTTTTAGAAAAAAAAATATTTTGGTCTTCTCTTGTTTTAAATATAAATACTTATTAAAATTATATCAAAATTTCATTATTATATTAAACATATTTTTAAAACTTAATTGTATTCTGATTTTTATTTTGATTCTAATTCTATCAAAAATTCTTTCATCATACCAAACAAAGCTTGATATGTCAGGCACCAATGCTTATATTGTCAATTGAATAATTAGAGCATTCAAGATTTAATTAAGGATCCGAGCACATCATTGATATTCTTAGTAGGGTGAGGAAAGGCATGAGAAGTGTACGGCTTTAAACCCTCCATTTTTTTTTTAAAGCACGAGGTTGTGCCATAGAATGTAAACAATTTTTTACAAGTTGAAATGATTACATGCATGGCTACACATTCAAAACTATCCTAAATAAGTAAGAATAACGATCAACGAATTGCCTTATTTAAAGTTATTAATTTTTCATGATTTTTTTTGGGCTTCAATGGGCAGCGGGAGTTGATTGGAAGGGCAATCAAAATTTTGCCTAAATTGAGATGGTATGAGAAGAAAAAGGATTTAAATGTGTTTTGATTTGTTTATTTGTTGAGGTTGTGCCTAAAAGTATTCAGTTTGGATCCATATCGATTAACCCAATATCATGTCGATCATATTGAGACGGGTCTTGTCCTGACTCGAAAATAATAGGGACGAGATAGGAAAGGGGTTCGGGACAGAATACAGGATTACCATCAAGACGTCCCGTCCAGAATATTATATATACATTATTTTTATTTTAAATATATTAATTATATTAATATAATTTATACTTATATTAATTATATCAATTATAATTTCAATACTTGCAATTCTTATTTAAAATTAAAGTTTTTTATATTGATAATTTTAATAATATTGAGTAAACATGGTGATATTTTTCTTTATAATATATTAATTATATTAATGTAATTTATTTTTATATCTATCTATTTAATAACTTTTATTTATAACGTATTTTTTACTTTATTTTTAAAAGAGTAATTAGCTTAGTACATCTCTACTAAAGTAGAAGAATAATGATTTGATGTTGTGCTTAACTTACCTGTTGTCACTACTTTTATAACCTAAAGATCACTTGTATTTACTATTATAAAATGTAGTTGTGATTAATGTAATTTAATAATTGACTTTAAATTATTGTGATTTATGTTCTTTTGTGGTTTTAATTTTAAACTTAATAAATTATATGATTTAAAATTTTAATGAATGTTATTATTCAAATCTTTCTTTAATATTATTCAATTTATTGAGACAATAGGATGTCCCAATCTTGTCCCAATCTCATCCTAATTCGTAACGGGATGGGATGACTTTCAGTACGAGATGAGATATGAGATTAAAATTTAATCTCAATCTTTTTTTGAAACGAGACACGAGATAGGAGTGTTTCGATCTCCTGAACACCCCTGCGCGGAGGAGTGAAGCCATCTTCAAGTCATGGTCGCACTTGAATTGGAGGAGCCCAAAAAGAGGGAGAGATTGTATGAGAGATGGAGTCTGGAGGAGTATGAAATAAATAAATAATAGAAGGAGAAGAAAAGGTGTTAGGTATGGTGGTGGTTGCCAAGTTTCAAGGTTGGAGTCGTGAGAAAGAGGCGAGGAAAGAGAGGGGGGGGGGGGGGGGAGATGAGCTGGAGAGTGACGGAAAGTGATTGGTGGGGCAAGGTAAGTGCAACTTCTATGCGCACTAGCACAGAAAGCGCACAAAGCCACATATATGAATCACTACAAATTCCCTCTTTGCTCTCAGGACCCCATCTTTCCTTCCACCTTAACACTCAATACTCATCCCATCATTGCCATCGCAGAATTCTCTTGCACTCTTTCCATCATCAAAACCTCGAAACCCTGAATATTTCTGGTTCTTGTGATGGCTTGTTGATAAGGAGCCGGCGGCGGCCTCCCTCTGATCTTGGTTATAATGGGCAACTGCTGGTTTTCCAGGGAATCCTCTGTTTACCGAGTGTCATCCAATGCTAAGTCAGGTATGATTATCTCTTCTTCTTGCTTTTCTAAGCTCCGAGAATTCCCCAGCGTTTTTCCTCTTCCTCTTGGCTACCATCTCTTTTCTCAACGTTTCCATCCTTTCCATTTGCCATGCACACCAACAGATTTTCCATCCCCTGTCTTGTTTGTGTTGGACCTTCGTTAATTCCATCAATCCATCGATTACAACTTTTTGAATCTGGGGGTTTTGGTAATGTTTGAGTTTTTTTTTTTTTTCCGAGATAGAATAAACTGTAATGAGATGGCTAGAAGTATTATAACATTGTTTGAGGTAATTTACTTGAAGAGGAGTGAAATGACTTGAGTCGGACTTTCTAATCATTTTTAGTCATTTTAAACTTATTTTTTCTGATCTTACAATTGGAATCAATAATAAAATGATATGATATAAATAATATTATTATAAAATTATTTTATTTTTCTTACCCTTCTCGCACCTTCACTTTCTACCTTAAAACTGAGGAAAAACTCAAAATTGATTTAGAAGTTGCACGTTTTCTCCAAATTTATTTGTCGTTATTAATATTAATATTAATATTTTTTGTAAAAGGTTAGTTTTGAATGTAATTTTTGTGGATTGAGCTCAGTTGACCTTTTCCTCACGTCTGCTCCAGGAGTGGGTGATTTTGTCCTTCCCACGTCTGTATATGTATAGTGGATAGTGGCAGTGGATGCCTCTCACAATAGTGCGATCAGTCTCATCTTGGCTACGCTTTCACTGCGGAGGCTTTTAAAAATAAAGATATTTTTCTATTGCCTCGCAAATAAATCTATGCGCGTGCTTTCAAAGGCCTAACTTTTATGATGTAGTTTTCCTTAGTGGCAGAATTGAATTCAACTAGGTTTCTTAAACTCATTTTAAATCATGAACAAATATAGAATATTCTACTTCCTCCAATCCCAAATATAGAAGTTATTGATAAGCTTATTTTAGTTTTTGTCATTCTTATTTATTATTTTTTAAAAATACCTCTATCAATTGTGCACAATTTATTCAAATAGTTTTTAACGTAAATGACTAGAAGAGATATTTTAAAAATCAATATATATATATATATATTTTTTTTTTAAATTTATATGAATCAGTGAACTAGCTTTAGGCTGGATGTAGTATTTTTAACCATAAACCATGCATTGTGCCGGTCGAGTTAGTGAAGTTTACTGATATTTTTACGCTGATAGCCCGTGATCTTGTCTCCCTTTTTCTTACGCTTTGTTTGGTTAAAGGGAAGGAGAAGGATTTTAACGGAGCAGGGTTGAAAGTTTTGCTCCCCTCAAACTCCTCCCCTCTAACCAAACACTATGTTAATGTCGTCGGAAACATACTGGAATACGAGATGTCAGTGTAAAATCATTCCCTCCCATTTTTCTTGTAGACTCAACCAAAGACCATATTCATTCCGTCAAATCACGGAATGATGATAGTAAGTTACCATCCAACCCCGAAGAAGTGGAAGTCCTGCGCCGCGATTCAGCTGCAAAGCCTTTGATTGCCTTCACGTACGATGAACTAAAGGTAATCACTGGAAATTTTAGGCAAGATCGTCTTTTAGGTGGAGGAGGATTTGGAAGTGTTTATAAGGGTTTTATTTCTGAGGACGTCAGAGAGGGCCTTCCTCCTCTTCCTGTAGCTGTCAAGGTACATGATGGTGACAACAGTCATCAAGGGCACAGAGAATGGCTGGTAATCTGTATGTTATGATACGTTAAGAAAATACATGATCTGCATCTTTCGGTTTTCATTCAGAACCTGAGCCTTCGGTGTTTTCTAGGCGGAAGTCATATTTCTCGGGCAGCTTTCTCATCCAAATTTGGTCCAATTAATTGGATACTGCTGCGAAGATGAACATAGGGTGCTTATATATGAGTATATGGCCAGAGGAAGCGTGGAAAACAATCTCTTTTCCAGTAAGTGTTTCATTTCTCTCAGTATTAGGTCACACTACACATCTTCAAGGAAACTCCTGTTTTAATTGGATGCTAGGGGTGTGAGTTATCCAAGGTCATCATGCACAGAACTGGGACATAGGGTGGTAACGATGGACGCCATTCTTAGCAATCAGACACATTAACCATTTAGAAATATGTTAATTCTGCTGATGTTTTTTACCTTACATTTTACTCACCATTAAAATTTTCTTACTGCAATGCATCCCACCTCACGTCGTTTTGTAGCTTTATGAAATAACATCGACCTTTGATGTGGGAGGAGTTGAGAATATGTGCTTCGTAGTTTCTTGCTCAGGTACTAGAACAATTGGTTCACTGTTACTGCATCAAGACATCTAATCATGTGGATGTTTTGGGGACAGCTACTATGCTGCAGTTATATTAAAATCTTTAAACAACCCGGATAGAATTTCTGTATCATTTACTGTTTGGCTAAAAGAACAAATCTAGAGATTTCTGAATGTAACGTGACATTTAGATCCCATACACCGTCAGTTTCTATGGGATGGGAAAGAGCATTGACGGTGCTCGCTAGCCCACTTATTATGTCTTTGCATTATTTGAGACAAAATGTCAGAGCCAGAGCCAGAGCCAGAAGCCGTTTCTCGATAAACCCTTAAGTTACACGTCATAGTAATTGGATGTTTAGTGATTCAAGTCATATGCTTCCTTGGTGATTTCAGTTGCCTGTATGATTTTTATTTTCATAACTAATACACGTCTTCACTAAAATATTGAAGGAGTATTGCTGCCCCTGCCATGGTCCTTAAGAATGAAGATCGCATTTGGCGCTGCTAAGGGACTTGCATTTCTTCATGAAGCAGAGAAGCCTGTTATCTATCGTGACTTTAAGACATCAAATATATTATTGGACCTGGTCAGTAAATTTAAAGGGTTTACATTTCTTTAATTATTTGTAAAGAGAAAAGGCCTTTTTTCTTTTGAGTGAGTATATGCATAATTACATAGTGAAGCTAACTAGACCTAGGAGCATTTTTAAAAAGAGCAAAAGAGAGAGCATGTATTAGAAGGCAATAATGTGTCGACATCCGTAGTCTCGTCTTCTGCTTGGAATTATCACGGAATAGGCTAATCTGTACATGACTTTGGTTTAGTTTAATCACTCATGGGAGCAAATGGCATTTCGTCTTTGTGAAGTGCCAAGGTCCTGCATGCCATATTCCTGATACCTATAGCTCATTTGAGCACGTGAATCATTATAAGTACTTTTGATAGAGGAATGACTTAACCGAAGGTTATAAGCATCTCTCGAGTCGTGAAATAAATTTGGCGTGCATGGCTTGTTTAGTATTCCGTGTTGTGCTCTAAAGCAAGTATAGTCCAGCATAAAGGTGAAAATGTATAATTTATCAATCAAGCTACAAAGTAAGAAAAGACAGGCAAGGCTGTTACCGTCTCTTTTCATATTCAAATGAGGATGCAGAAGACGTAATATTTGCATGAAGCAGAAAACATGCCAGATATTGTGCACAAAAACTTTAGCTTCTGTTCTTGTATGCCGAAGGCTGCACTCTTAGCAGAGCAAGTCATGTTTCAACTAACAATCTTGATCGCATGACATGCTTAATCAAGAGCAGGACTACAATGCAAAACTTTCAGATTTCGGCCTTGCCAAGGATGGACCTGTTGGGGACAAATCTCACGTCTCCACTCGCATAATGGGAACTTACGGATACGCTGCACCCGAATACATATTGACTGGTAAAGTTAGTTTTTCAAGCTGAAGAGCAATTGCGGTTTGCCTATATGTATATTTATTCACGCTGAAAGCATCAACTGTGCAGGTCATCTGACCCCTAGAAGTGATGTGTACAGCTTTGGGGTTGTTCTTCTTGAACTTTTGACGGGAAGAAAATCTCTAGACAAGTCAAGGCCCGCTCGGGAGCAGAACCTTGCAGATTGGGCCCTTCCCTTGCTGAAGGAAAAGAAGAAATTGTTGAATATAATTGATCCCAGACTAGAAGGCGATTATCCTATAAAAGGAGTCCACAAGGCCGCAATGCTAGCTTATCATTGCTTGAACCGCAATCCAAAAGCAAGGCCTTTAATGCGAGATATAGTAGATTCATTGGAGCCTTTGCAGCTTCACAATGAGGTTTCTATTGGAAAAACATTGACCATCATCAGTGAGGTTCCTCAACCCGAATTAAAAAGGAAAGATGCTGAATAATCCCTCGAGGCTAGCCCTTCCTTTCTCTTGTCGCATTTCTTTTCTCTGGTTTGAAGGGAGAGAGGTTTTGCATGGAAAATAGGCTATTTCTTTCCATTCTCTCTCTCCCCACCCTCGTCACATGCAATTTGAGTTTTGTATGAACCAACCTCAATCTAAACTGGCACATGCATATTTGTATACTATGAAGTTCACCTTCTGGGGTAAAGAAAGAGAGAGGCAGAGAGAGAGAGAATTGTTTCACCTTTGACCGCTGACCCCCATTTATTGACCATATAAAAGAAAAACCACCAAGGGTCGCAGAACATTTGTCGCGTGCTTGTTATAATTTTAGATTTGAATCCTATCATAAAGGGCACACATGCAACTCATTATTATCAAGTTACCGCCCAAAAAGTCAGTTACAGAATGTGGCAAAGTAGGGACTTTTTGTGTTTTCTTTTTGTCGTACATATATTTAGATAATTTAAATTCAATATAATTTAACGTGTAAGTTCGATGATAAAGTGTTATAATAGTTAAAAAAAAGTTAAAAATTGCAGAACTACTGCTGAATTAAACAGGCCAACTGGCCATGAAGGGTTAGATGGACGGTTAGAAATTACGAATGCAAAAGTAGAGGTTCTAGATTATTCGGAAGCAAGACAAGTAGGATAGCAGGAGATCGCAAATGGGATCTAACGGCCCAGATGAAACAGAAGGTTCAAGAGGGCGTCCCTGGCCTTTTATTTATTACGATTAAACCTAATCGGCTAATCCTTAGGGTGCTTCGCTTCATCGTGCTCCCTGCCTGGCTTGGCATTGTTGAGTGTTATCCAAAACCCCGCCTCCTCTCCCGACACATCCCTTTAAACCCTAAACAGCTACGACAAGCAGAGCCGTCTACTGGTATTACTAACGCATCTTGATTCATTTGCTCAGCATTTGGACGTCAAGTTTCCATCCTTTGCTCCGGTCGATTTTCCTTGTTGATGTTGTTGTCATCCCGTTGTATTGCTTCAGTTTCAAATTATATTATTATTGTTTGTTTCTCCGTAAATTAGTATAATGGGAGACTGACTTTCCGCTCAATATCTTTCTCTTCTTTGTTTGGGGTAGTTTTCGGGGTCAAGAAGTGTTGTGGGCGTCTTGAAATTTAATACAAGTTTTTGCCCCTGCGGTGACTGCTGAAATTTGTTTGTCGATGAGGGTTGGTTAGTGTTGGGTGACAATGGTTGCAAAGTCGTTAATTTCCTTCCTTACCGTATGAAAATGAACTTTAGAAAGCTGAATTTGTAACAATGTGACGACAGTGGTTGATGTGCTTGCGCGTATGACATTTCCCCCCAATTTCTCCCTTATTGCCTTATTCCTACTTTCATCTAATCTGTGTGGCATGTGGCCTTCCTTTCCGGAATCTGACTCTTAAAAGCTTGATGTAGTCTCCTGAGATCTTCCTCAAATGATTATCTCGTTTAATGGCTGTTGAATAATAGCATTCGTGTTTTCAAACTGAGTATTGATACCTTAGCTTGTAAAGTTTAAATATAGTTTGTATTTGAGTTTTGGAATTATGATTCTGTTTAAAATTGAAATGATTATGTTGCGTGAAAGAAATTTTTGAGTTTTATATTCTGGGTTAATGAAAGGCAAGAATTACGTACGCTGAAGAGTGCTGGGAGTTTTCTTTTTTTTTTTAAGCAGGGATCAGTTTATTACCACCTGAAAGATCCACGTTCCCCGCATAAATTGAGAGTGTTTTTTATTTTTTTAATGCGAGCATTTAGTTACTCATTACTTTATCTCTTTCCTTTAGCACCAATGGAAAGAGGGTGATTTATTTGACATTCGTTTTTCAGAAGTAATGGCATCAACTTTCACAGCAATGTCTTCTGTTAGCTCTTTTGCTGCTCCTGGTTGCCGAGTTACGGAAAGGAAGCTTTCCTCAGCTGCCTCTATTTCTTCGTTTTCCTATGGTAGGAGACATAATTTACTTATAAGGAGAAATCGATCTCCCATGATTTCTGCCATGGCAAAGGAGCTGCACTTTAATAAAGATGGGTCAGCTATCAAGAGATTGCAAGTGAGCCTTTTAATATAGTCTTATAGACCCTTTTCTTATTCATTTGAAGCTTAAATAATGGTCCTCTGACAATATAATTTAATTCCTAATGCCATGACAACTTATTTTATTCCAGAGCGGTGTTAACAAGCTTGCAGATCTTGTTGGAGTTACACTTGGCCCTAAGGGAAGGAATGTTGTTCTGGAGAGCAAGTATGGCTCCCCCAAAATTGTTAATGATGGAGTGACTGTGGCCAAAGAGGTTTGCCCTACCTCCCTCTCTTCCTCCGCCTTCTCTCTAAGTTGCTTTTGATTTACGTTACTGTTATGATGCATGCAATTAATTTACAATTTACGAATTTAGTATATTTTTTCCATTATTCTGTTTTTCTCATGCAACAAGTTTGGTTCATTTCATTCTTGGATTACATCAGATTTTTGTGGATGCTTCAAATTACATTTTGCATTTTTGACCATCAAATACATGAGACATGTTGTAACTACCTCGCCCCTTCTTCCGCCTCCTCTCAGGTTGAATTGGAAGATCCAGTGGAGAACATTGGTGCCAAGTTGGTGAGACAAGCGGCTGCCAAGACAAATGACTTGGCTGGTGATGGAACCACTACATCTGTTGTTCTTGCCCAGGGTCTTATTGCAGAAGGTGTCAAGGTTTGTTCTCTAGTTTAAGATGTTTCTATGGCTCTGCCTCATGCAATTGAAATTTTATCAGAAACTTGCAAAAGTGGTTCGTTTTCATGTGACATCTTTAAGTTGATATTATTTAAGATTGATAAAGCAGTTATGAGTTTTGACTCATCAACAATTAAATTTGCAGGTTGTTGCAGCTGGTGCTAACCCTGTACTGATCACTCGTGGCATTGAGAAGACAACAAAGGCTCTTGTAACTGAGCTAAAACAGATGTCTAAAGAGGTGATGCTTTTATATTTTATTCTTTTATTCAGCATTATCATCATATATTGTGTAATTCTCCTTATTTCTTTGTAAATGTATAGTTTAATTCTTGTCTTTTATTCAAGATGTTTAATTGAATGAAATGCAGGTTGAAGATAGTGAGTTGGCAGATGTGGCAGCAGTAAGTGCAGGAAATAACTATGAAGTAGGAAATATGATTGCTGAAGCAATGAGTAAGGTCGGTAGGAAGGGTGTTGTGACACTTGAGGAAGGAAAAAGTGCAGAGAACAGTCTTTATGTTGTTGAGGGGATGCAATTCGACCGTGGATACATCTCACCTTACTTTGTTACTGATAGTGAGAAAATGGCCGTTGAATATGAAAACTGCAAGGTGTGGCATTGGACTTTTCCACATTTGTATTGTCAACAATCTTTATTTATCTCTTATGTGACTGTTATTTTATGCAGTTGCTATTAGTTGATAAAAAGATAACAAATGCAAGGGATCTGATTAACATTCTGGAAGAGGCTATTAGAAGTGGATTCCCAATCTTGATTATAGCAGAGGACATTGAGCAAGAAGCTTTAGCAACTCTTGTTGTGAACAAACTTAGAGGAGCATTGAAGATTGCAGCCCTTAAGGCCCCCGGATTTGGAGAGCGAAAGAGCCAGTACCTTGATGATATTGCCATCTTGACCGGAGGTCTTTAGCGTTCACTAATTTAGTGTCCTTTGAGTGTCTAATTGGGAAGTGCATGGGTGTCATTTTCTCTCCCAAGTTCCCAGTTCCTCACAAGGATGTGTATTTCCAATTGGCAGGTACTGTAGTCAGAGATGAGGTTGGCCTTACTTTAGACAAAGTTGGAAAGGAGGTTCTGGGTCAAGCCTCCAAGGTGGTGCTTACTAAAGATACTACCACAATTGTTGGCGATGGGAGCACCCAGGAAGCTGTAAACAAGAGGGTTGCACAAATTAGAAATCTAATTGAGGTTTTTATCTCTCTTCTCTCTCTCTATATCTACACCTGCATGCAACCACCTTGTTGTATAGATGGATATTGCATGTGCAGGGGTACCCATAAATATTAGCACAGAATGTGTGAGAACTAAAAGCATGAGATGCGAGCAAGACTGGAGAGAGATTTTTCCTGCATGAAAAGACAATTTTGTCTTATATACAAACATGGAAGCATAGATGCATGCATTGACACCCACAGAGACGCACAAAACAGATGTATGGACATTGAAGTGGTGGATAGACAGAATAATAATCTTTCCCTGGGTTTTAACTAGGCTTTTGCTTATGACTGTAGGCTGCAGAGCAGGAGTATGAAAAGGAGAAGCTTAATGAAAGAATTGCAAAATTGTCAGGTGGTGTGGCTGTGATACAGGTAAATGTACAAACCGTTGATAATTAATCAGCGTTGACTTTGCCTGCCGTATTGGTTGAAGTAATGCAATATTTATGATATGTTTTAGGTTGGCGCACAAACTGAGACTGAGCTCAAAGAAAAGAAATTGAGAGTTGAAGATGCTCTAAATGCCACAAAGGTAACATCTTATTTCCCAAAACGCAGATTTCTGTTCCTCCTTAGGTTATTTTAGACGTGAGTTAACTGCTGTGTTGGCATGTAGGCTGCTGTTGAAGAAGGTATCGTAGTTGGTGGCGGATGTACGCTGTTGAGACTTGCATCCAAGGTGGATGCTATCAAGGAGGGCCTTCTCAATGATGAGGAAAAAGTAAGCCACTAGAATGATTTGGGAAGTATTCGAGTTTCTCAAATGTGAAGATATTTTTGTGATTTTGCTGAGAAATGTTCATAACAGCTGTTGTTTTCTGTTCAATCACGTAAATTTTCTATTGCTTAACTGAACATGTGTACAACATAACTTCTATTTGTTTCAGGTTGGTGCAGATATTGTAAAAAGAGCTCTTAGTTACCCTCTCAAATTAATTGCCAAGAATGCTGGTGTAAATGGTAGCGTGGTCAGTGAAAAGGTACTATCATTTGTTTGAGATAGAATTTGCTGTTCCTCTATCAATTTTAATAGTGACGATATGATTGAAATGCATTTTGTGCTCAGGTTTTGTCCAGTGATAATCCACGTTATGGATATAATGCTGCCACTGGAAAATATGAAGATCTAATGGCTGCTGGGATCATCGACCCAACAAAGGTGATTTACTGCTCAATTACCGCATGACTTTTTGTTTTTAGCTCGTGTG